TTTTCCTTGGAGCTCGGTATTTTTGTTTTTTTTTACTTTTTTGTAATTTGTTTTCTACTTTCAAACCATTCTAGTCATACAGTTACAACATCCCCCTTTCCTCTTCTATTGTAATTTTCGATTTCAATAATATTATCATCAAACATGAAATGTGGTAGTCATAATCGGGGACAATTTTATGCAGTATGTATACTTATATTCATGTCAATTTTCTTGTAGACATAGGCTATTTGTATTGGTCTGTAATTCTTGAAAATATGGGATTTGATCCTTTGATCCAATCGATATTAAAGGAGACTATCTCTAACATTGTCTGTTGATACTTTGTTTTTCGATTTTCTTCTTGATTTATATCTGGAGGTATTTAAGTCTGTCTCCTCTAAAAATGAAATAAATATTTTATAGATGAATGCTATTTTTCATATTGTTTTCATCTGGTGTGGTAGATTTTCTTTCTGTTGTTGTGGTATGGCTTGCTTACTTTCGTAAGCTGAAACCAAGTTAAAGAGAATTAGTTTAGTATTGTTCTCATTAATTATAGAAGTGTTTATGGAATCTGGCTGCCTGGTATATTTCTGATGTCACTTGCAGCTTCTGTATTTGCTCTGAGTTGCAGTTGCCAGATGTTTATATTTTGTTGTACCGAACTTTGGATGAGGTGATTTTACTAGTTGCTGTTTATATTGGCTGGACGATTTCTCATCTGCTGGATGGTACTTGATATTTTTCTGTCTTGTTTTAATTAATGTTGATTTTGAAAATGATTGAATGATACATTCGGTTTTTAATGCTCATGGCATTCTGAGTCTGATGGTCTGGTATCTTATGTATCTCTCTATCTTTATTCAATTGCTTGAAGCTTAAGGTTGGTCGATGTGGCTGGTAACATGTTTGTTGCTATGTGATTTAGCTTTTCAAAGAATTTGATGCTGGGTTTTATGTACTTTGTGCATATTATCGGTATTTGAAATATAATGAAATTTATATATGAAATTAACACTTTATTAATTTCGTGGGTCTGAAAGGCTTTTCTGGATTTACGTAGTTTCTTAATAGCTTCTTAATATATCAACTGAGAATTTTGTTACATCATGTCAGTACCGAATCACTGCCTACTGGATATACCATCGGGACTAACAGTCGACCAGCAGTGGTATCGACAGCTAGTAAATTAAATCGGCATTTTAATAATTTCGTGCGTCAAAAGTACTTTTCTGGATTTACCTTCAGTCGGACGGCTCAAACCCAAACATTTGAAAGACATGGATGTTTAAGATCTTAATACTAGTATACCAAGATCTAAATGATAAACAGGAACCTTAAAGAGTAATATGTTTGGCCGTGAGACTTTCCTTGTTATCTTGGTGGTAACTGATTAAATTGTATCTCTTTTGGCTGGGAGAATTTCCGTGGTAACTGTTTAAATTGTATCTCTTTTGGCTGGGAGACTTTCCTTGTTATCTTGGTGGTAACTGTTTAAATTGTTTCTCTTCTTGTGGTTTTGATGTACTTGATCACTTGTTTGCCTTGGAAAAGTTGTTTCATTATTTATATTGTCTAACCATCCTGTACTACTGCAGTAATAATACGTTAATGAAAAATGTTTTTGCTGTTGCGTTTGATGTTATTACTATTATTAATGGAAAACATAGCTAACTATTTGTGTTGTAGTAGACCTATTCTGCTGGAGTTATAGTCAGTATTTCGAATATATGTGCAATAAGTTAACATTTCCGGCTGAGTGACTTCCATATTGATCTCGGTGGTAATTGTTCAGATAATTTTTCTGTACAGGTGTTTTCGATGTACTTAGTCACTTGTATGCCTTGGGAATACACTCATCATAGATACCAGGATTAAAGTCTTGTTCGCCAGACGCGCGTTTTGTTTACAAAGACTAATAAGTGACCCTGGGAAAGATAGTTAATTATTTATGTTGTCTAAAAATTCTTTTCAACTGGAGTTAAACTCTGATTAAGGAAAACGTTTTTGTGATCCCGTCTGATGCGTTTTTCGCATCTGATGCAACTGATTAGTTGGATATTCCTCTCTTATACTATGGCAGTAGACCCCATATCATGTAGATGTAAAAACCTAGATACAGGACAAATTGAAAGAAAAAATGAGAACATCCATTGCCGTATTTCTTTCCTGTTCAGCTGCTTGTTTGTTTTGCAGGTGCTCTATTTTTTCTTTAAAGGAAATCAATAATCCGGTTTTGTTGCTTGATATCTATTTTCAGAGAGGTTATAAAGACTTTTTTTATCGTTCTTCATTGATTTTTTTATTTTAAACTTTTGATTATTTTCTTTGGGCAGTCCTTTAAGTTTGCTTATTATTACAACTACTTGATATTTTTATTTCCATGTTCTAATGTCATCCTTTTTAAATGGGTTCATCATAGATTTATTGACAGTGTGTTGGTTAAACTGCATATTTTGTTCTTGTGTACTTTTAGTAAATAATGGAAACAACACTTTATAAAATGCACCCAAAGCGCTTTACTGGTTTAATCTTCATCAGGAACGCCAAAGCCGAATATTTGAACCGAAGAGTTAAAGAGAGATATGACTAAAAAGGACCTGAAAATAATAGCCAATTCAATTTTTATGTCCGTGTAAGGATTTTTTTTTATCCTCATTGTTTTGTACATGATTCTTCAATAAGAATCGTTGTACTTTTACTCTATGGATTTTGTATTTGAGTATTTGCAGGCTTCTGTATATAACTTGACCATTGTTAAAAAAATCACATACATATATCTATCTGGATCTATTCGATTTACTTCACTTGAACTTGACTAATCTTTTGAGCACTTGCGTTTTAATCAGTTCTGTGCATACTTTTTTTAATATATCATATGCTACCTATTTTTATCATCTTCATTGTTTCCACCACACCTGTCTTTACTTCATCTAATAAACTAGATATTCTGTTGATATATTCTTGTATGCTAGGTAGTATAAGCTGTAGGAACATTTTTATCTCGGATCCATTAATTAGTAATTTACTTTTAGTTATATATAATATGATTTGATTGTACATTTTATGATTTTCCCTGTAGTCCCATCTGCTTTTTCTTGTATATTTTGTAGGTGTATTAAGAAGTGAGTTGAGAATTGTTGAATTAAACCTACATTTCTACCCTGAAACGTTCATATGCTGCAAAGCTGTTTCTTCTACTTTTTTATGCAGTTGTCTTGGCTTTGAATGGCTGGTGGGCACGTTAATAACTTGCGATGTAGTTGTCTTAGCTAAGTATTATTGTGTGGAAACTTTATCCTTGCTATGCAGTTCTCTTTCCTGAATATGATATTTGAGCAAGGTTTAGCCTTGCCATACAGTCGTTTTTGCGGAGTATGACTAGGGGGCATACTATGTTTTGTGTAGCAGAATATGTCACACTGGATTTGAGCCCTTATTGTAGAGTGATGTTTGGCCTTGGTAAATATAATGGATTAACCGGATGAAACCTTTTATATGATAGATTGAATCAGGTTTGCAAGCACACTAGGTTTTGCTATGCCGATGCTGTTGTATAAAATGTTATGTTTGTAGACAGATCCGCGAGTAAGCTTTAACTTGCTATCCAAAGGTTCTTTGCGCAGTATAATGATTAACACATGTTTTAACTCTAAGAGTTGGACGAGTTGTCACTTCGAGCTAGGTATTTTTCTGTTAAATATATCGTAAACTATAAGACTTCACCTTGTATTGGATAGTTGCTATCATATAGGATCAAATCAGTCAAAAAACTGTGACCTTTCTATGCAACAATTGGTGGGTAGTGAAATGAATACTGATTGATTATGATTCTTGTAGTTGAAATATAGAATACGTTATGAGGTATTATAAGCTATCAATTATTGTGAATTAGAATAACCTTAATAAGAAGCAATCTGTATCCTTGTTATGTCAATATTTGTACAAATAGGACTTGTAAGTAAAAACTCATCAAAGATATCAGGGTTATCATTTCAAGTACGAAAGGCGTGCTTTTCGTCTCATAAGACTCAACAGTTTGAAAGCAAATCAAATACAAAGTTTAAGAACATTAAAAACCGAAAACAGTAAATTTACAGAAAATGAACATATCATTGATATTTCACGTCAACACAAAATGACAAAAGTGCTATCTCTTTGGCTGGTGACTTGACGAAATGTCCACTAGCAGCGGTATCCACCCAGTAGTTGTAAAAACTCATTAAAGATACCAGACTTGTAACATAATACAGCATTTTTCCTTTGAAGTTTTTACGCGATAATTTGCTTAATAGTTCGGTTTCTGAAAAAATCATGGTTTCATATAAAGATTGTATGTTATTCCATTAAAAAGAATCATGACGTACTTTGTTCTTGCAACTTCATGTAGATAGGCGGAGCTTGGACTATGTTATAATCTGATATTTTTTATGTTAAACCATGATTTAAACTCCGCCTCTTTGTTACGCCTCCATGTGATTGACAGTTTAGTGAATGCACGAGGACAAGGATTTCGTTTGTTTTACAAATAGGATTTCTACTTTCTGGGAATTCCGTCACTGACTTCATACATTTCAACGAAATTTTTAGACACATCTGCAATAAATAATGCAATAAAATTTTGTTGCAATAAAATTTTGTTGGGGAAAATCTTTTTTTTTTAAGAAATTTTTTATGACAAATCAGAGCCGGAATATTTTGTTCTAAGAATTTCCAGGCCCCCAGAAAATCAAATGGTATGTGCCTTTTGTCCATTAATTCCCCTTCTTGTTGGATATCGCTTCGGTTGTATACACTTCTTTTTTAACTGCTCAATCATAAACATGTTTTTTGGGTGATGCTGTCTTTTTTTTCAATTTTGAAAAATGTACACATTTCTACCAGGAGTACTTAATAAATATGACAAATCCTCTTTTGAAATTACCATTTAATGCCAAATGTACCCTATTTTAGACCATATTACTCCTGACGAAAAATGAGCTCACTTTTCGTATCTAAAACATACAAAGAAATAGAAACAATTTCCAAATTATGTAATGTCTCAAAAATCGCACTAATACAGGATCATTCATAGCACTTTCAAAAAAATAATGGTTGAAATTTTATCCATCTTGCAATATATGAATCTATTGAAAAATGTCTGCTTTTCTCTGTCAGACTATATAATCAAAAAATATATTCTGAAATGCACATCGCGGCTGTCTTTATTTAGTAACGTTGTAAGTAAAATGGCAATTGTTATAACTGACATTTCCACGAGAAGCGGGGCCATTCGTGATATCGAATAATTCCTGCCCTGTGTCGTCATGAACCTCTACAGAATTATTGAATTTTATTTTCTTGGTGGATGGTTGTTTTTCATCTCTTGTTCCGACGGTGTTCTCCTCAGACGGGGGGTTTAGGGCCATCGATGCCTTTTCTTCTAGTTCGTTGGTCTTTGTTTTGTACGCTCTCACGGCAGTTGAACGGTGACCTGTACGGTCCATTATGGACTGGTCGACTAGACCAGCCTTATACAAGGACGTAAAACAACCTCTTTTTCCCGAATGATTTGTGAAGTTTCCTGTTAGCCCGGCTTTTCCACACATTTCCTTCATTAAAGACTCTAGTTTGTTCACGCCTAATGGTTGTTTTCCATAGCGTATTCCGCTGGTCAAAGGCTTTCTGTAGAAACATCCGTCGTTTCCAAGAGCACATAGATAAGTTTCAAAGTGTTTGTAAAGACATCTGGAACCTTAAAGTTGAAGCAGGAATAAATTTATTTTGAAAAACAAAAAACGAGCAACAAACTAAATACACATATTACATGATGTCGATTTTTTTCTTTGATCTTTTAAGGAAATAATAACTGTGTTTTGTATAAAATCATGGTCCTTTGATAAACTCGTAAACAAACTCGCACTACGTGCTCGTTGTTTAACTCGTATATCTCCAAAAAGCAGTGGTATATATTTATTACATATTAAACGGGAAAATATGAATCTTTCACATTTCCTCCTGACACTTTGAATCTATCACATTTTTTCCTGAATATAACGTGTTTTAAATAATTTTTAGAAAAAAATGAACTATCTCTATTTTGAAACGACCTGCTTTAAATTCATAAAATGGTACTTACCACCACTTGTATAATGCTTTATGTCTTTATTTGAAACCTTCAAATGTGCAAGTCCTCCTTGGTATGCCTTTTCGCTTCTACCAATGAACCTGTTTTATAAATGACATAATATGATAAACGTATCTTAAAATGATAAGAAATATCGTATTGCAACTTTGCATATATATTTATTGAAAAAAAACCGCAAAAAACGTAAAGTTTTCGGAAGCATGTGTGGTGATGCCGTACGGAAGGGCAACATGTAGAATCTATCAGTTTTCGTCACGGGAACGTCTGGTTCATTTATATTCTTTTCAGAAACATAACAGTTTGTAATGACAATTTTATAAACTCGTCTGTATCCGACGCGCTAGACCTCACGACCACCTAGGCTACCTAGGCTTGTGAAGCCTAGGTGGTCGTGTGGTCTAGCGCGTCGGATACAGTGCAGGCGATTTGGTGTCACGATATCTCAGTAGTATGAGTTTGAATCCCGGCGAGGGAAGAACAAAAAATTTGCGAAAGCAAATTTACAGATCTAACATTGTTGGGCTGATGTTTAGACGCATTGTATATACAGAATGTACACAGCCATGTATCACCATCACTGCTGGTGATCCGATGGATAAATCTGTTGTAGAGTTGTCACTGGTTCAGACGTACTTATATATATATATATATATATATATATATATATATATATATATATATATAATTAATCACCTTCACTGGTGATCCAATGGATGGATCTGTCGTAGAGTTGTCACTTGTTTAGACGTACTTATCAAAATAATTATTTCTGTGACTGTATCTTACGATCCTTTACGATAGATATTCAGCTAATCTGCAACTTAATCAATTTTATCTTCATGCCTGATATATCATGTACTGTGTTACAACTCTAGATTCTACTGACGAGGAAATGTAACACTAGGCCACCGAAAGCTGAATTATTAGTTCAGTCTAGGTGGCCGTGTGTCTAGATCGCTGGACACAGTGCAGGCGGTGTTGTCTCGATATCCAAATAGCATGAGTTTGAATCCCGACGAGAGAAGAACAAAAATGTGCTTCCGCAAATGTGCAGATTTAACATTGTTGTGCTGATATTTAGAGTAATTATGAATATAATATGTGTTTTCAGCCGTGTATCACCTTCACTGGTGATCCAATAGATGGATCTGTCGTAGAGTTGTCACTTGTTCAGACGTACTTATCAAAATAATTATTTTTGTGACTGTATCTTACGATCCTATGCGATAGATATTCAGCTAATCTGCAATCAATTCCATCTTCATGCCTAATATATCAGGTACTGTGTTACAGCTCTAGATTCTACTGACGAGGAAAGGTAACACTAAGTTTATTATCCATGCTTTACTACTTTTTTTCAGATGTTTCTATAGGTGTCTTGTGCTGTCATTCAAAATGACAGAGAGCAATAACTATGTGTTGATTCTATTTGAATTGTTAACACTTGACTGAGTGTTTTTAAAAAAAAACAAATATGACTTACTGTTCTGTTTCATGTAATAGGAGAACAAAGAAAGGAGTACATTTTGAATAAAGAGCAGCCCACCACTATTTTCTACAGAGGAGTTAACAGTATCAACACATTAGTCAACTTATTAGATAATATGTCTGTTAGGTACCGACCATTTGATTTGATATTATGCCCCACAAAATGCAGGATACAAAATTGAAAAATAAATAATCGAGCTTAAAACAAGTGAAAATGACTATTCCATCCACAAAAGATCCTTTGCCCCCCCCCCCCCCGTTTTTACATATCAACTTGAAAACTTTTAATAGATAGACAGCCTTGAAAGAATGAATGAAAGCACTAGAAACTAAAAATCATTGTCAAAATCCATGTTATTAACAAAATGTACTAGTTTATAACTCCTCTTTTAGATTTGGTAAAAATAAACAGCAATATGATATTAAAAATACATCATTGTCGGGTAGCTAAGAGTAGGTTTTAATTTCTTTACTCTTATTGTTGAATTTTTATTCTGGTGTCCAAACTATGAGAGTATTCATTAAAAAAGTTTCATTAAAAATTTTAATTTTAGAATTAAGGTATATGTTTTACACAAGAGTGATTGTAAGAACCGTTATGTTATATCAATGGATCAATGTGGAGCATACTTTCGAAATCTCTTTTCAATCCAATATTGTATGAAAGAAATAAGTAAATTTTTTGTACAAAATATAAGAATTGATATAAATGGGCAATGTATTTATTCATCCTGATGAATGTCCATCACTTTTAAGCATCTTCCAAAGTTCTTTAGATTCACACTCAGACATATTGATGATGTAAGGTACCCAATACGACACATTTAAATGATTGCTTACATATCATATATAGTGAACATGAGATTAAGGATACTACCGAAAGGTCTGCTTCATATCTTGATTTTTGTTCTTCTTTATTGACACAGACGGACGACTTCAAAAAGAAATCTATGACAAAAGTGATGATTTCAGCTCTGCAATTGTCCATCTCCCATTTCATAGCAGTTACATACCCTTTGCTCCATCGTATGCGTTAACATCTCCTTTAATGCGTTACGCTCATACACTATATGAACTTCATTAACAAGAGAGTGCTCATTACACAAAAAACTGCTCTCCCAGAGTTATGATTGAGAACGACTGAAATTGACACTTCATAAGTTTTACGGTCACCATCACAAATTGGTTGACCGATACGGTACGTCGGTTTCTCAAATAACAAGCCACATGTCTTTGCGGTCTAATATCTTTAGATACCAGCATAGTTGTCTATCTGTAATTGTTTTTTTTTTATATTTCATTATCATGATGTTTTGTGGTAGTATATAAATTTTCATTTATTCGGACATAAATATTTTTATAAGTTTGTCTCAACTTTCCCAGTCCTATAGAGATTTTTGCGTTATTTTATCCTTCTTCTATCCACTTTACACGTGATCTCTCATGTGCTCTCTTTGCTTCATTTATGTAAAGGTTCTCTAATTTTTTTTGTCAACATTGTTTATGTCGTTTTGTACATTATTATTCTGACTGACTTCATGCGAATTCAAAATGACACAATCGGAAATTTTACAGATCATACGAAACGAAGATATACATGAACTATTTGATTTAAAGTATAACAGATTATTTTGTAGAACTTGAAAAATGCACTCCAGTCTCTATCAACTACAACTTCCACTCACAATCCCTGTATGAACTCATTCTAAGAAAACTTAGATATGTACAAAACAAATCGAATACAATTATATTTTCATATTTCAACTATTTGAGTTGAAGCCAGCTTTTAATTATTCAGTTTTAATTAATACTAATGTAACAGTCATGGTTACTTTGAAATAAGCTTCCATTTGTAAGAAACAAGTCCCATTTGGGAAAATATTATAAATATATCAGACATTAACACATCCCTGTTCAACTTAAATTTAGATTAAGGTTTTATATCAACAATACAGCAGTCCTACAATTAACCAAGAATAAATGTTTGTAGACCAACGACAGTCTTATATCCCTAATTACGTTTTCCTTTTAATGCATAGTTTTGGAAAAAAGAAGGTTTTTTTATAGACATAACAAAAATAAGTAAATAAAGGCAACAGTAGTATATCGGTGTTCAAACGTCATAAATCGATTGAGAGAAAACAAATCCGGGTAACAAACCAAAACCGAGGGAAACACATCAACTATAAGAGGAAAACAAAGGAACAACAGGAACACCGAAGTGCAACAAAAACAAACGCCAGCACTCATAGAAACGAACTATTTGATAACAACTGCCATATTCCTGACTTGGTACAGGACATTTTAAGAAAAAATGGTGGGTTGAACCTGGTTTTATGGCATGCCAAACCTCCCGCTTTATGACAATGTTAAAAATATCGCTAAAACACTACGTGACAGAAATACAGCACAAACACCCGCAAGAACATTCATAACAGAGAAACGCACAAACAAATAATATAATAGTCGACACAACATGCAAACCACAGAAGAACATCGAACATATTCCATCAACGAAAAAATACCACAGGATATCAAAAACAGTGACGCGCTTACGTAACTAACATGCAATCTCGAACTTTATACAATTATTTTCACAATATTCGTCCAAACAATTTTCATGACAATGATGGTATGGAAAGGCAATTTTAGAATTATTTGGACTACAAACGATTAGACAAAACAGATTATCCAACCGAAACCATAACAGAAACATCAAAATTAATCCATTAATGTTGGATGTACAAAACACCGAGACACGCCGCACAGCAATGCAAATTCACATTCAGAATAACAGTCATATTCGGAAATATGACAATGATGGTATTAAAGGCAATTTTATTATTATTTGGACAACAAACGATACGACAAAACACATTATTCAACAGAAACTATAACAAAAACATCAAAAATAAATACATGAATGTTGGATGTACAAAATACCAAGACACGTCGTATAGCAATGTAAATTCACTCTCGGTATAACAGTCTTATTCGGGAATAGGTCACGTTCGGTACTTAGCAGACAGACAACATAGATGTTTTACCACAATCTAAGACGTGGTAAAAATGTCTTTACTTAGTTTAGACACAGACACATCGTATAGATCAACCAATTCGTGATGGTGTCCATAAAATTTACGGAGTGTCATTTTTAATCTTTCGTCCTCATAACTCTGTTGGAGCAGTTTCTACGTAAGGAGCACACTCCTGTATATGAAGTCAGTATAGTGTGAACAGTCACGAGCATAACGTATCAAGTGAGATATGTACACACCATACGACGGAGAAGAGGGTATGTTAGTACAGAGAAATTGATAATTCGGAAGTTGAAATCATCCCGTTTGTCATAGATTTTAGGGTGAAATCGTCCATCATTGTCAATATTGAGGAAAAGATCAAGGTATGAAGCAGTCCTTCTTGTATCAGTAGTATCCTTAATTTCAAGTTCACTGGGATATATGAGATACAAGTACTGACTGAAATATGGTTTATTCAGTGATAGGACATCATCAATATATCTGAAAGTAAAAGTAAAGAACTTTGCAAGTTGCCTTTTCTTTTTTGTCTTTTAGAAGAGTTAAAATATTCGATTATCATCGAAAAGTACGTTAAAATTTGATCCCTTATCCTTCAGATGGTTGCGGTCATAACCTGTACACGAGTTAACTTTTAGAAGCTTTTATATTTTTTTAAAGTTAGCTTTATATGTGGAGCAGACAAGAAACTTAACTATTTCGGTGGCAGATCAGACCTAGGTTTGTTTTCTTCAGTCCTGTTGACATGTCTTTACCAGACCAGACCACTGTGCAGGTCTGCTTTTGACCAGTCCCGAAGGCATGTGTGCTCTCGTCAGACCTTCAGACATATTTGATATAGATCGGTCTGCTTTTGACCAGTCCCGAGGACATGTAAAAACCTGACAGACATGTACACAGGTCAGATTTAGATCGGTCCTGAGATCAGGTGTACGTTTGACCAGTCCAGAGGGCATGTATGCTACCGACAGACCTGCAGACAGGTCTTCTATTGACCAGTCCTGAGGACAGGCCTGCTTTTGACCGGTGCTGAGGATATGTATGATCCCGATGTCTACAGGTCTGCTTAAGATCGGTCCTGGGGATAGGTGTGCTTTTGACAGTCCAGAGGGCATGTATGTTATCAACAGACCTGTAGAAAGATTGCTATTGATCGGTCCTGAGCAACAGTGTTATTGATATCTTTTTTCAAGTCACGTCAGATTATATGTTTATTAAAATAAAAAATGTGTATGCAATATGTTAATATAGAGAAACAAGAATATTTTATAACATTTATGCAATCGGGACAGAGTGTAGTAGAGTAGATAAAAATAACTTTGGAACAGTTGGTCAAAGTTGATTTGTGTATAGGAATGGCTTTGAGGTTTACCTGTCACTTGATCCCGAGTTAACTTTATTAGTGGATCTGTGAAAATAGTACAACTCAACGACATAATTATAATTATACACTCTTCCGATAATGTACAAAATAAGTTAAATATAGAGTACAAAGGTATGCAAAATGAATACAACACTATAAAAATCGAGTTATAGAGCTTCTTAAATACAACGATTTTGTTTATATCCTCGCCTCATATTAGCTGGCTTTTTGTTTAACTGGCATATGCCAACCCGAAAAGGTTACACCCTTATCCGCAAAGAATATTACTAGATTTACAATTCTAATCCTCTTAATACACTGTATAGTAAGACTTTCCATTTATGTTACTAGTTAATTGATTATCTATTATCTTAATGTTACAGGTTTTGCAGTTTTGGAAATAAATCAGTGCTGTTAAGAGTTATTGAAGTGTACAATATCTCATAGCTGACTTGTTCATGGTCGCGTGCAAATATTTGTATAATTGACATAAGGACGATAATCTAAATGTGAATTACCCCCGTTAAGATGGCTATCTGAAAAGGGGGATTTTTAAGGGAGTTTTAGAAGCATTATCTGTACAAACATTTTATTTTTTTTCGAAAGGTAAAGTGAATGAACTTTCTTCAGCATTTTAAGCCAATGACGTCTGTATAATGCCAGAAGATCATTAATAGAGACGTTTTGAAGAGACAGTGATGTATTATTACGATATTCCTGGCTGCGTATTTGTTTAGCACTAGAGTTGAAGTATTTATGACATTGACCGAGATGCAAGAGGGTCTTGATAGAACACCTCAATTGTATGTAATATGTCACTACAATCATAATATGTAGCAGTTCCCAGTCCCCGATTCCAGTAGCCTTGTATTGGCTTCGGAGATAAAGTCAGGCTTCGAGAACTAAGTTACTGTTTGAGGGCGTTTAAGTCAGGTAAAATTAAAAGAAATATGGAATTCAAAATTGATACTTTAAATCAGAAGAGCATTAGTTAAGAAACAAAATAAGCTAAAATATTGATAGGTTATGGAACTCCTTTCCGAAATATTTGATTTTAAAAAAATGGCGGGAAAAGTCTGACTCGGACTCCTTATATTTTGCATTCGCATTATTTGGATTTCAAATCATAAGAACAGAAATCTAGAATCTGCTTAAATTTTGGTAATGACCTTATAAACCATTGAATAAAATTGAGAATGGAAATGGGGAATATGTCAAAGAGACAACAAGGCCACCAATGGGTCTTCAATGCAGCGAGAAATTCCCGCACCTGGAGGTGGTCCTCAGCTGGCCCCTAACTAAAATTGTGTGCTAGTTCAGTGAAATTGACGTCACACTAAACTTCAAAATATATAAATGAACTAAAATTAAAAAACATACTAGACTAACAAAGGCCAGAGGCTCCTGACCTGGGACAGGCGCAAAAATGCGGCGGGGTTAAACATGTTTTGTGAGATTTCAACCCACCCCTATACCTCTAGCCAATGTAGAATAAAGAAACACAAAGCAATAAGTCTTCTATGAAAAGAAAAGTTGGTGATATGCCCAAAATATTTTACCCTGTCTTGTAGGAAAACCCCGAACATCTAACAAAAACTCGCAAACCTGAAATGACTACATCCTTAACACCACAAATTGACTGACTGCGGAGACGTTTTTCCTGGTACGTCTAAATAGCTTGTCTAGCTTAAATTGTACGATTCTTACACTTAAACGTACCAACAAAAACAAAACAAAGCTGTTCTGCTTTAATGTAGATAATTAAAAAATGTCTATGAAAATTCGATATACTCAGTTTTAGGATCAACTGTAATTTTGTAGCGGTAACAATATAACAAGGGACAATTTGCAAGATTATCGTTTATTTGGAACTCATCAATCGAAAATAAATTGACAACGCCATGGCTAAAAAAGAAAAAAGACCTACAGACAAACAATAGTACACAAAACACAACATAGAAAACTAAAGACTAAGCAACACGAACCCCACCAAAAACTGGGAGTGATCTCGGGTGCTCCGAAAGGGTAAGCAGATCTTGCTCCACAGTTGGCACCCGTCGTGTTGCTCATGTTAGAACAAACGCGGTAAGTAGTCGAATTCGGTATGTCACATTCCTGAAAAGGGAACAGGATTGTAGTTACGACATTAGGAACATATCAGCTATCATCTGTAAAACGGATATTCCATAATGGTCAACCAACTCGTGATGGCGTCCGTAAAATTTACGAAGGGATGATCTCAACATCACCATTTGAAACACTTGGTATGATAGCTTCCTTGTGAGCAGCAACCCTTTATGAAGGAAATCCTTGTATGCAGCAACCCTCTATCTTGGAGATAATGATAGGAAATGCAAGGCATTGAATATCGTATGAACTAGGAGATATATACTCCATATGCGCTGCTGGAATGTTACTTCATAGAAATGGAAAGTTCCTAATTGGGATGCTGAAATCATCTCTTATCGTAATGTTTTGTTCTCAACCGACTCTCATTGTCAATTTCTAGATGTAAGTCAAGATATGAGGCAGACTTAACTGTGCCTGTTGTATCCTTTATTTCTTTTTTTTATTCAACAACAATATTGCACACGCTATTCACAATGACTCCACTGACACAGCTATCTCAGTGAAGGTCCCCGTTTCATTAGTACCAGAAGTTAAGGAATCGTCAGATAGATAAACTGCAATTTGTTAGTCGTTTACGAAAATATTGATATAACATCAATTTAAAATAATGACATTACTGTATTGATATCATCTGGCGTATAATAGTTATCAAAGGTACCAGGATTATAATTTGTATCAAAATGCCAGACGCGCGTTTCGTCTACATAAGACTCATCAGTGACGCTCAGATCAAAATAGGTAGAAAGCCAAACAAGTATAAAAGTTGAAGAGCATTGACGACCCAAAATTCCAAAAAGTTGTGCCAAATATGGCTAAGGTAATCTATGCATGGGATAAGAAAATCCTTAGTATTTCGAATAATTTATACTTTTATACTTTTAAAAAAGAGGGACGAAAGATACCAGAGGGACATTCAAACTCATAAATCGAAAATAAACTGACAACGCCATGGCTAAAAAAGAAAAAGACAAACAGACAAACAATAGAACACAAAACACAACATAGAAAACTAAAGACTTAGCAACACGAACCCCACCAAAAACTGGGGTGATCTCAGGTGCTCCGGAAGGGTAAGCAGATCCTTTAACAAGCTCGAGATTATCGGAATTTCATAGCTCGTCCGAGATTGGGAAGGTTTATAACCTATTATTAATTTGTATGTGTTTCCAGTTGAAGGTTGTTTATAATATATTTTGGAATAGATTGTATATTAGCTTTATCTATATTATTATGCAGGTAAGTCAGTTATAATTAGAAAGATTGACCGTCATACTGTAACCGAAAGCAGTTGTGTTGTGTTGTGTGTTGTTGTACAGTATATACACTGTGCCAGATTATATAAATATTGCAATGTACGTGTAAGTTAAATAAAAAATAATAAATCATTCAATACACAAAGTTGACATTACAAACAAGTCATGTAATTCAAATACTCCTAAATATCTTTTCCAATATACCTTTTCTTTCAGTGTTACTATATTTGTGTTGTAGAATTGGCCCATTTCTAAACTCTGGTTTGAAACAAAAAAATACTTTGATATTTTTGTTCATAAAAAAGGGTTTTGGTTCTCTCCGGGTACTCCGACGTCCTCCACCAATAAACATCTGATGTCGTGATATAAATAAACGTGGATGAGTGGAGTTAAACAATAAAAATATATCAAATAAATTTCTAATTAGCAAAGGAAAATAGCATATCAGCAATGCTATTGGTAAATAATATCAAAAAGTACATTTGTTTATAAAAAAACTTTGAAATACTAAATATTTTCGGAAACAGGAATATATTTGTATTTGGTATTTGGAATTTTGGGTACTGAATGCACTTTAACTTTGTTTTATTCGAGCGTCATTGATGAGTCTTTTGTAGACGAAACGTACGTCTAGCGTACCCAATTATAAGCATTGTATCTTTTATGACATTGTTGTCATGTGCAATAACACCATTATGTGTGTATATATTACATTGCATTCATAGGTTGATAGTAGCACTAGGCTGGTTTTTTATAGAACGATTCCACCAGCTGTCTCAACAGAGGTTGCAGTTTTACAAATTATGTCACATATGAATGACATATTATAGCAATGAATATGGTGAGTGTATCATTTCTATTTAAATCAAATAACGAGATTTGATATCAAGCAAAATCCAATTCTAATGAGTTGTTAAACCTATTTCTCTTATTGTAAACATTCTCGTTGTGCTTAATGACAAATTCCGCGAATTATTAATCTAGTCTTTTGCAAATACAAGTATAACATCAGATATTTTTTTGTACGCTTCAGAATGTAAGAAAATTTGACAAAAAGATTTTCAGGTTACAAGTGTGAGTGCTTTGTATAATACTAAAGAAATCACCTATTTCCGTTGCCATGGACGAAATGTATATTGTCTTAAACTTTGAAAGAAGTAAAACAACAAAAATACCGAACTCAAAGGAAAATATAAAGCGGAAAGTCCCTGATCATATGGCAAAATAAAAATGAACGGAAAACAACTGTCATATTCCTGACTTGGTACAGACATTTCCTTATGTAGAAAATGGTGGGTTAAGTCTGGTTTAATAGCTAGCTAAACCTCTCACTTGTATGACAGTCGCATATAATTCCATTATATTGACAACAATGTGTTAACAAAACAAACAGACATAATAGGAAAAAAGTCATCAATAGACCTAACGAAAAGCCAATCGAAATACTGCAATAGCATCTCATGATGCTGGATAGTCAATCAAATTAACGGATTTTTCGTATGACTTTTTTTGTATCACACTTTTTACAGTGTGATACGAGAAATATCTCTTCATGCATGAAATAAATAACCATCAGAGAAAACATATTATAGCAATTGGAATAGTGTCGGATATTAAATACTGATAAAATATTACTTTGGAGGTCCAATTAGTTCAGGTCAGTGTAGCTAAATTGGGTATAGTTGAGTTTAGGTGTCGACCACAACGCCAGTTACAACCAATGTTTTACTTCATACTAAAGCTACTGTCGCGGTGTTGTCTGTTTTTTTCACATGTGCTGTTGATGTCCTTTGGTGGGTTATCCCCTTTTGATTGCACATTTTGTTGTTTTCATAAACAGCTCGGAACTAAGAATATGAAAAGGGATTATTGAGGTTACAGTCTGTCAGAACATCAGTCATCTTTATTTCCTGATAATAAATCAAAAATTTACCCTTACATAGCACCTGAGATCACCTCCGGCTTTTGATGGGGATCGTGTTGCTCGGTCTTTAGAGTCTGTGTTGTGCTTCGTATACTGTTGTTTGTCTTTTTTTTACGTTTTCTCCCTTGGTATCTGATTGCAACCTAACCTGTATGTATAGTCAAATATAAAGAAATTCTTTAGAAATGAGGTAATTTCATGTAAGGTCAACGTCTTTCATATAGTTACTAAAAACAAAAGGATATTTGTGCAGTATAGGAGTATCAGAATAATTATATGCAGTAATCTTGCATGTCTTTTTAAAAGTTTTATTTTACTTTTTTCATGCTCACAGAAAAAAACCCCGATATAACAGTTGTTTCCCAGTCGTCCCATTGGTTGGTAAAGTCGATCGTTTTTGTTTTGTCAGTTTTTATGGAATTCCTTTTTTTTTTAATTTACCTTGGAGTATGGTAATTTTGTGAACACATTTTTAAACTAGTCGTTTTTCCCATCCGTCCTTCCGTGTGTCCGAAGCAAATAGTTTCCGGATGATGATAACTTGAGTTTCCCTTGCATGCTTTACATAAAACTTGTTCAGATGGAAGATATAGGTATGGGAAGGAGCTTACTGATTTATGGATCAATAAGTCAATAATCAAGTTCACTCGCTGAAAAAGAAAACTGAAGGAAAATTGGTTTGCGGTGGGTAACTTGAGGTACACCTGCATCATTGGAATGAAAATCGTACAGATGGACGGTATAGGGAGAGAAAGAAGCATTTTGAGTTTTGGGCCAAAAGGTCAAAGATAACGTCACTGTAACTTAAAAAAAAAGATTATGTTTTAAGTTTACTTTCCAGTATGGTATTCTACATGATTGCTGCCAATTATTGAATTTTAATTAATTAAAATATCATGATTATCGTTATCAGATTCATAAATCAACCAATCAGTATAATGGATTTGGTGTTCGAGCACAAGTTTTGTACTCCGAATACTGAGTAAAGTTTTACGACTGAACGGCCTGGTCTCACTCTTTTCGAAGTTCATGCGATTCTCTCAGTTCTTGTTTCCCACCTTGATTTGCCTCTCAATCGATATACGAGATTTGTATATAAGTTAATTACTGTTGCCTTAATTTTCTGAATAAATGTGCAGTTCGGAAACATCAGCTAGCAGTGCCAACCTTTTACCTTTATTACTTTCTTTTTCTTTTTCTCTGTAATACATGATTGCGGCACTACCAAAGCAATAGTCAAACGGATTAGACGAAAACAAACTGACAATGCCGTGGTAAAAATCTGGATAGACAAACAACAGTCTACACATACAATGTACAACATAGAAAAACAAAAGACTGAGTAACACGAACACCACAAAAAACAGGGGGTGATAACTAATCTTATAGATTCTGTCGAAAGAAAAATCTCAACCTGAAATTAAAGCTATACGGACGCCTATGATTTTCTTTACTTTCGTGGAATATCTCTGTGCCACAGATGACCACGTTTATGTTCCAATTAATTGTTGCAGCTACAATCCCGTCCTCATTTTCTCGATTGTTACAACACCCAGTGAAACTTATCACCGAATTTGTATTTGACATGATCCACATGAAAAAGGCCACACGTAGAGCATAATTGCTTACCCTTCCAGATCACACGAGGTCACGTTCTTTATTAGGATTCGTTTTGATCAGTGTTAAGTTTGTTTTTTATGTTTAGTGGACTCTATTGTGTCTTTTCGTGGTTTTTCGTTTTCTTTGCCGTCGTACGCGTGTTGTTGGTTTTTCTTCGACTAATGATTTTTGATTGTCTTTTTAGCTTTGTCTGCCTCTTCTTTGTACTAAAGCCCAATGCTCTCCTAGCGAAGGATTAGTTCCATGAAAACCGGTGAGGGGTACACCAGAAGAGAAAATAACATAAGCAGTCTGAGAAATGAAAACTTGACCGTGTTCGAAATTTAAGTATCGACAGGATTGAAAATTATAAGTGTTCACGTCCGGTATGTGTTTTGGTTACTTGTTTTTCTGACTGTCATCGATCTGATGAGTTAAGCCCTTTTCAAGTGATGTTTAGGTTTGTTCATATGTTGTGCTGTTACACTCCTGTCCCAGGTTAGGGGAGGGGTTGGGCGACCAATAACATGTTTAACCCCGCCACATTCTTTAGGTGCCTTTGGTAAAAATTGCCAATGAAACGAACACTCCACCAGAGAACACATGCCATTCAAATAAACAACTAAAGGTCACCATACGGCCTTCAACTATTAGCTTAGTCAGCTATAAAAGGCCCAGAAATGAAAAATGCAAAAAAATCAAAACAGAAAACTAACGACCTGATTTACTTTGCTTGTTTTACGTTATAGAAAAAGTCCAAATAACTGTCAATTCCTGGGAAATAATGAAGCAGAGGCCCGTAGGCATCCGCTCAATTATTTCCCAGGAATGGACAGTTATTTGGACTTTCGCTAACTCAAAATACACCTTAAATATTAAAAACGATTCTTCAGATTATAACATTTTAAAGAATTTTATTTAATTTTGTGATGGTTTTCTTTTCATTTTCCTCGTGTTGTACCCAAGAATCCGAAGGCAAAATTTAAGATCAAGCTGACCTCACTTAACTAAGTATTTATGAACAGTAGAATAATTACTATAAAAAGATCTTTGAATAAAGTTCATTCAGATTTATGTTTAAAGTCATTGGATACGCACATCTTTCTTGTAGTGGGATTGAAAGGATATTTATTTTTGTCTTTAAGTGGTATTTCGGGAGAGTAAAAAAAACTATATTTATGCATATATGCTAATGGATTATGTGTGTTTTTCTTTTGAAAAATATTGGATGTAGAATCGTCTGTGAAAAATGAAATGGTTCAACAAGAATGAATTCCCAGGTATGTAACACTCTAGTATAGGTTATTTAACCAATAACGGTGTGCTCGATTTTAAGTCATATCGAACACAAAATGTGATTCTATATTTCAAACCATGTTATTCGATGAAATAAAATGAAACAAGAAAACAGTATTTCATGCACAACCCAACATTTCGTCTTTCCCTTTGCTAATTACAACGAACAAAACTTTTATGCCTTTTTTTTTAATAGCAATACAAGCAAACTGAAAGTATTTTTAATTCTCCCCTATTATCAGAAAGGAAGCAAAATAGTTTAAAAAAATCCGCATGAACAACTACCTTTTAATTTCATTTAAACAATCTTCAAGATTAACGCCGTTTATTTGCACTGCCGATATAACTGTTATATTTGGCACTGGACATATAACAACAGTGAATGTATTCGATTATGTTACGCGTTTCTGTTGAAAAAACCCCGCCCAATATTTAACACAAGCATTATTCAAATGTTATACATACCCCTGAAATTGTATTCATTAGTACTATATTTAAATTATAACAACGAACAATCAAATAAAATACCGAATACGCCATTTTGACCATTTCAGTTTCTTGGACTATTTATTCTATTTATTTGTGTTCAATATTACAATAGAATTCACTAACTCACACACAGTTAACACGTTTGATATTTTGTAGATGCACAGAAGAGGAATGGAACTTAATGGAAAATATTCGTTTTTACCCACTTGGATACTATCCGTGACAAAAATTCAGCCAAGATTTGCATCGTTAAACAAATTGTGGATTATATTGTTGAATTTTAGTAAATACGATACTATATTTTACACGATGGAATTACGACTCGCAAATAAAAGCTGTTTGTTAATAATGAAATATTTAGTGTTCATTGTATTACTATGATCCCAATTTAAAAAAATCAAGTATCAGTCGTTTTAGTAAGATTTCTTCTTCATTCAATATCGCGTTATGTCCTTCAGAATTATTCCCATGGGTGAACACTTTTTAAGAAAGTGCCCATGGAAATATCCTAAGAGCAAAACGTCCGGATGAATGAAGACGAACAATAGAAAATAACTCTCTATTCCTGAAAAATAATGGAGAGTTAATGGAAAAAATCACAGTTGTATTTTAAACAAGGGTATCACCATCCCAGTATTCCTTATTCCTGTGCTGACATGAAATATCATTCATGCAGTCATTTGTCATTAAATTTTCGCAAGAAATACGGCTAAGATCATTCGAGAAACCAAGTTTCTCTAACCTAATACAGATGGCCCAAACAAGATTTGGCACAAATATTTGGAAATTTTGTGTTTTAGTGATGTTTAACTTCGTGATTGATTTAGCGTTCCAACCAACCGAGCATCACAGAAAAGTCTATCTTATGTATATGAGTTTAAATACATTACTGATTGGGAAAATATCAATTAATCATGTAATTTGAATAAAGCGTATTTTCTAATACACCCCTTCCTTAAGTTCCATTGTTATGTTTTCTGTAATATCTTAAAACAGTGATCATAATATTCCCGACAAATAATGCGTTTTTTGGTATTGAAAAGAAGTTCTATCATAATACCCTTCAAATGTTTTTTATAACTGAAATCAAAAATTTACGTTAATAAAATGTGCTTATCATTAACTTTGATGTTTGACCAGAAAAACAATCTTAAAGTTGACATATAATAAACAGGACCACTATATAATGTTATGCGTGTTATAGTCTAACTGAGGAACCGTTATCTTATATTGGTTTTAAAGACGTATACAGAAGGCAAAAAAACAGTGTCAAGGAAATGAATATTTAACATAAATAGGAACATCATATCATAGATAGATAACCAACAAAGGAACTGTATATATTGACAAGCTATGCACGGGCGACAAACAATGACATTTTTATAATTATCTGCGATCAGAACCTGGGTCGACATTCCGAACGTTTTCACATAGAAACAAGACGTAGCTCTATGGTCTGCAAATTGTCAAAACATCATGATCATAATGACCATAAGAATTACGGTTCCGCAGCTACTTATAGTTCGTCTGACATATTGCCTATGGCATTGACTCACTTTTCATGGTGTATTAACTACTTCAGAAAACTGTAATGGTTTTGTTATCACACGTTTTTTTAATTCATTGTGAGAAATAGGAATAATTCATTTTGTTTATGGAATCATTGTATGCATACACATAATTATCTGTTAAAAAAAAAAAAAAAAAAAAAAAAAAAAACAGAAGATATCAAGGTGACATTAAAAGCTCAAGTTCAGATAAACTGACAACGCCATGGCAAAACCAAATAAGACGACAGAAAAAAAAAACAACAAAAAAACACACTAAACACTTCATAGACAAATAATGACTGAGCAACACGAACCCCACTAAATACCGGACTTGATCTCAGGTGCTTTGGAAGGGAAGCAGATCGTTGTTTATTATTGGCATTCGTGATGTTACGCATGATAACTACACGTTTGATGATGACACAATCAAGCCGCCAGGAGCTTCTAGGTTTTGACAATTATAAAATATCCGTGGTCATCCGTGACACAGATATTCCATAATGGTAAACTAGCTCGTGATGGCTTCCATACAACTTTTGAAGCATTACTTCAATGTGACCACTTGGACCGTTGATTTAATAATTTTCTTATAAGTAACCATCACTCAAGGGAATCATGGGAACATAATGTATAGAATACCGTATAAACTAGGATATGTTTACTCTTAATAAAGGTGCTGCTAATATGTTGCTAGATAGAAATCGAAAGTTCACAATTTGAAAGCCAGAATCATTCCTTTTATCCTTAAACTAGAGGCTTTCAAGAGCCTGGGTCGCTCCCCTGACTCTACTTTAGATTTAGAAATCATGTAAAGATAGATAAAAATCATAACAGATACCCAAATAATGATTGAGGCCAAATTTGGTTTAATATTGGCCCCGTTATTTAATAAAATATCTTGGTGGCCATCTTGAACAGTAAATCGGCAACAAAGTAGCAACACTTGGTCAGCAGCTCATAAGGAACATTCATGCCAAGTTTGGTTTCATTCCATTCAGTGGTACTCTAAAAGAAGACATTTGTATGTATTTCCCTTAAGGTCCTTTGTTAAACTAAGTCCCCTGCTAGCGGCCATCTTGGATGATGGATCGGCTGCAAAGAAACAAAACTTGGTCAGCACCTCGTAAGAAACATTCATGCCATGTTTCATTTCATTCAGTGGTTCTCTAAAGGAAAATATTTGTATGTATTTCCCATAGGGTCCTATGTTAAACTAAGTCCCCGCTGGCGGCCGTCTTGGGTGATGGATCGGCTACAAAGTAACAACACTTGGTCAGCACCTCGTAAGAAACATTCATGCCATGTTTCATTACATTCAGTGGTTTTCTAAAAGAAAATATTTGTATGTATTTCCCATAGTGTCCTATGTTAAACTAAGTCCCCGCTGGCGGCCATCTTGGGTGATGGATCGGCTACAAAGTAACAACACTTGGTCAGCACCTCATAAGGAACATTAATGCCATGTTTGGTTTCATTCCATTCAGTGGTTCTCTAGAAGAAGTTCAAAATGTAAAACGTTAACGACGACGACGGACGACGGACGCCAAGTGATGAGAAAAGCTCACTTGGCCCTCTGGGCCAGGTGAGCTAAAAATGTGTTCTCTGTCAATTTCCAAATGAAAGTCGAGATACGAGAAGAATGCATATTTTTTTTTATTTCTAATTTGAACCTGTAATCTGCATGATTTTAATGTTTAAATATTGTGGTTCTAAAGTGAGTATTTTTATCATTATGCTGTAACCTTTTCTTGAAAGATAAGAACATGGGTCTGACATATGAACATTTTTCCAGCTTAATCAAATTGGCTTGGTTTTGAACATAAATCAGACCGTTAGTTTTCTCGTTTGAATTGTTTTACATTTGTCATTTCGGAGCCTTTTATAGCTGAATATGTGGTGTGGGTTTTGCTCATTGTGGAAGGCCGTACGATGACCTATAGTGGTTAATTTATATGTCATTGGTCTCTTGTAGAGAGTTGTCTCATTGGCAATCATGCCACATATTCTTATTAGCTCACCTGGCCCGGAGGCCCAAGTGAGCTTTTCTCATCACTTGGCGTCCGTCGTCCGTCGTCGTCGTCGTCGTCGTTAACTTTTTACATTTTGAACTTCTTCTAGAGAACCACTGAATGGAATGAAACCAAACATGGCATGAATGTTCCATACGAGGTGCTGACCAAGTGTTATTACTTTGTAGCCAATCCATCACCCAAGATGGCCGCCAGCAGGGACTTAGTTTAACATAGGACACTATGGGAAATACATACAAATATTTTCTTTTAGAAAACCACTGAATGGAATGAAACATGGCATGAATGTTTCTTACGAGGTGCTGACCAAGTGTTGTTACTTTGTAGCCGATCCATTACCCAAGATGGCCGCCAGCGCGGACTTAGTTTAACATAGGACCCTATGGGAAATACATACAAATATTTTCCTTTAGAGAACCACTGAATGAAATGAAACATGGCATGGATGTTTCTTACGAGGCGCTGACCAAGTGTTGTTACTTTGTAGCCAAACCGTAATCCAAGATGCCCGCCAGCAGGGGACTTAGTTTAACATAAGTGCTATGGGAAATACATACAAATGCTCCTTCTAGAGGAGCACTGAATGGAATGAAACCAAACATGGCATAAATGTTCCTTATGAGGTGCTGATGAGGCCTTAATACATGTATCTTTATACATTGAGATATACTTTAAACTGCTAAAATATCAAGAAAAGAAGATCTACACATAAGTCAACATCTTGTTGGAGTTATTGTCCTTATAAAGTCATTTTCTACAATTTCAATGACTTTATTGGTAATTATTGTAAACTTTACAAAAGTCTTCTGTTTTTGATTGAATTACCGAGCCAATATTAAACCAAATTTGGCCTCAATCATTATTAGGGTATCTGTTATGATTTTAATCTAGTTTTACATGAGTTCCAAAACCAATGTAGAATCAAGTGAGCGACAAAGGGTATTAAGAGCCTCTAGTTTTTATATTGGTAGTACCTTTTAAGGTTTTTTAGTTTCAAAAAATCTTTTAACAGCCCTAAATACTTTAAATCAACAAATCGGTTGTCACTTTATAGAGCTTGATTAAAAAGCTTCCTGTGTCTATTTTACTATTCTATATAAAGTCTACATATTGTCAAGTCATTTTTGGCGGCTGTATTTCTCCAAAACCGGTATAGATATCACTCTGACAGTTTATTTGCACGTACATTAAGCCACATTTATTGACCTTTTTGTAATATTGAATTTGTTAGTAAAGTTATGACAATGTGTTAAGGTGTTAAACTTTGTTTTGTTGCCATTTTGTGACAATTCATAATGGGTCTTCACGATATCTGTGGTACTCTTTGGTCTTTCCTCCAAAATTAGTGGGTAGGTAAATTATTTATTAATAGAAAATCATCAAAACGGCGGATCATGATATTAAAAGATGAAGTTAGTTTCTTCTTCTTTTCTGAGAAACTTCTGTATTAAGTCGTATATTTATGAACAGTCTTCAGCTAATTTTCAGTAGCCCGATTTGATTTCATCTTCAGTACTTATCTTATATACACTTAACGAGATATTGTATATATTTAACGAGATATCGTTTAAAGAAAATGTTTTGAAAATATTTCATCAGCTTGTAAAAATATCTGATGAAATAAAAAAAGAATATTGATATAAGATGTAAAAATGTTTTGAAAAACACAAAATTACGAGGAATTAAATAGTGTTAGCTTGTAAAGCATGTAAAATTAAATGGCATGCTCAAAGCAGCGATATTTACAAGTATGATCCATACTGTTATGTGTAATTTTTTACGTAGGAGATAAATGTACGACAATCTTGACACATTAGTTCATTTATTGGAAACCCTATTATTACAATTAAAGCAATAATGATGTTTATAAGTGCAACAGCTTATAAAAACTTCAACTTGTGTAGTAAAATATAAAATGGATAATGATTAATGTCATCGTTAGAAAAAAACAATATATTGATTTTTATTTGATAAATCATCTGTTTATGGTGGTGTCTCATACTGATATCTTACTTCAAATTCAGAACTCAAAAGTATCTCATTAAATATATACAATATCTCGTTAAGTGTATATTATCAAATTAAACTTTATTACTTTAATTAAAATGCAATTCTGTGCAAAAGGACAATAGCTTTTGAACAAAACAGATTATAAAGTTTCTGTGTGTATTTCAATAAAATGTTCTAAACAACTATCAATTTACTAGACAACCCGACAAAACTAGTGCATTTTAACTACTAAATTTCATGTATTTCTACAGTATTATTGAGAGGTCATTACACCTACCTTGATATTTATATCCATTATATAATCGTCAATCAATGAGCAATGAATTAAAGTGTAGACATAGACAAGATGATTAAAGGTTTAAATCAACAAACAGTCATTAAACATTTCACAGTTCACTTGGAACTGAGAGTCAAACAAGTTCACTTTCAAAATATTCACGATATGTCAATATTGGTATTAGTTCTCGTTTGAGTATCAAATAAAATATCACTGATATGGACATTTTGTGTAAACTTACTGTTTATAAAATTTTGAAATATTCAAACCACGCTAATGATTTTCTACCTCAGGCATAGATTGCGTAAGCCGTATCCGGCCTAACATTGTGGAACTTTTGTGTAAGGCACTTGAAATTCATATTTGAGTTGGCTTGTCAGCTATTTTGATTCGAGCGCAATATATGCACACTGAACATATTGAACAAAACAGCATATGAAATCGCCTTCGTCAGTGTCATTTTTTTTCAACACAAACTACATTTTTCTACAGAATCGATCGCTCTTGACTTTCTTTCAGTAATTCTACTTAGGACCCCTGTGAGTTTTATTTCTTGGCACTTGCAATGGAGAGGACAACATTTTTCTACGTTATCTAAACATTGCAAATGTTTTTCATGCACTGACCACTTAGAATTTAAAAGTCATGTCTTGCAATAGAAACAATAATGTTTTGAGACACACTAGGACTGTCCAAAAGCAGACAAGTAATGTCTAGAGACAGACAAGTTATGTATCAATGTGAACGCATCATTAAGGTTCTGATGTACATCAAATATTTTAGTTTTTCTTGGATGATTAAGTTTAGAATTAATTATTCTTCTTTTTACAACTAGTTCATCTCTTTACATCCCATTTTCTTATCTCAATTTAGGCTCATGTCTTCAAAAATCAGACGGAAAGTGCTAAAAGTTTGAACTATATGATTTACTTTTTTCTATCTTTTTAATTCACGCAAAATGTATTTTATGCGTTTTGAGGATGGAATATTAACACGTTACAAAAATTTAACAACATGTAACATATAATATTTTCATTATATATACGTAAGTAGTTACGGTGTGTTACTCAATACAATCCTGATTATTTCCTTGACCAAATTAAATATATGCTTACTACAGACGTTGTTACTGAAATACTATATCCTAATGCTATATTGTCTGATATTTTAAAAGTACTGAGTATATCTATAAAGCATTGATTGTTATTTTGATTTAGATAAGATATTCCTTTAAAATGCTTAACAAATTTGATGATAATGATTTCTTATCATCATTACCGCAAACAGACTATTTTAAAAACTGATATGACTAAGTCTATCAATCCGAAATGATTTAAAGGAAATTCCGAAGCTTGTTTGCTTCATGAATAGAATCACCGCAAATATCAAGATGATCAAGGTATGAGAAAAAACGTGTTATATATAATTGCACGAGATCATACTTAAAATCTTTTAAATTCATGTTTGACCTATTTATGATATTTTTAGGAAACAAAAAGAGTACGTTCATTGAGATCTTAGAAGTAAGTATAAACACACACGTAGCCTACAAGGTGAGAAATGTTCAGTATATAAAACGATGAAAATTCAACATCATAATAAAGGAAGATCATAAATTGGTAAATAAACGTCCCATTGATCAAATATTGTGGTTTGAGAGCAATCCTTGTAGATCATATATAAAGGCGGATTAATTGATAATTATAATTCTATAGCCAAACGAAGTATGCCATAAATTGTCATTAAATCAAACAATTTTAGATAATACTGAGATACTTGGAACACAGCCTTCTTATTCTAAGTTATTTGATTCTCAGTATAAAGAAGAAAAATAAGCACTCAACACTATAAGGAAGTTTTTCGTTTGAATGTCCTTTTGGTATCTTTTGCCTCTCTTTTACACTTCTTTTGCTTATATTTATGAAACGATATATTAAGCTTGTATACCAGGACTACTCATTTCCAATGCATGGTGTATCATACATATAAGTTGCAGAAAAAGAAAGAAATAGTAGCCCTCTATCTGACGACTAAAATTTTCGTGACTTCATTTTTGCACATAAATTGCTCACATTTGATCAAAAACAATACATCCTCAGATACCCACACAACTGATTTCCAATACAGATACTTGATTGCCAATCAATAGAAATACATTGGTGCTCTTCATCTATTCCGCTATATGTATTATAACTTCACACTTATAACGCTTACTAATATTACTAATTTTGACGCATTGGAGGTCTCGTGGTAGTTTGCTCCTCTTGAAATCAGGAGGTCATGGGTTGGAACACCATTCAGGTCAAACCAAACACTAGCAAATTGGTATTAGCTGCTTCTTCGCTATACACGTTGCATTTGGGAGTAAGAGCAAAAACTGGTCAGCTCGGAATCAGAATAATGTGTCCGGGTAGAGTGATATGTCGTTCTCGGACTGCTACATTGTGATCTAGCACGTTAAAAATCCGACTCAGCGTATCGGTCTACTACAAATCAGTGTTTGTATTCATATTTCACTATCACGTTATCGTCCATAATATGCAATTAATTTTCTACTGGACGTTAAATATACCTATTGACCAATCCAACAACAATACCGTTAGCTAATAGTCAATTAAGAAAAGATATTATGACATTTTATTTCAATTACAGACGACTTTGCATTTGTTCAGTGTTTGCTTTTATTTTGCAGATTCAAGACGTCTTCGCATTAACCGGGGACGAGTGAAACAAACAGGCAAAAAAAAACACATTTAGAAACATTCACACACTTTTCTTCTCTAGTGTTGATACCAATTTGAGGATTACAACTGCTTGCAGAATGGTACTCTTTGCTACGGTTTAGAGCTTTATTTTGGATACAACAATATGACTTCCGGACCTTTTCGGTGAGGGACTATAATCTTTTCTTTCATATGGATAATCTTTTCTCTTTTTCATGTTTTTTTTGTTTTACATATTTCCAATATTTATTTTCTTGCATCACTGAATTGAAATATTGCAAACGTATAATTACGGTTCAATTTATTCATTGGGAAAGAGGAATCAAAGCGCATTTTTAAATATTTATTACGAATTCATAACAACAAACATTTCACTTAGTGATAATTAATCGCAACCTTATATAAAATTGTCAGTTTATTTACGATTTGTGAGTTTGAATGTCACTTTGGTATCTCTCTCCTCTCTTTTAGCTGCTAATTAACTTTCGAGTTTTTTTAAACTTAGCCATTCAGGTTTATAAAACATATCCTCCATAAGTTTGAAATTTGTATTGTATGACCTTAAGCAAATAGTAATATAATATTGATTTTAGTTGTAAGAAACCTTTAGAGATCAATGTAAAAAAATGTATTTAACATGTTTAAAAGTTTAACTAGAATCCTCAGAGTGATTCGTTTGCCTTGACAAAATTAATTAAATATAATAATCCTCGTGAGCGTTTTGTGCGTTTTGCGTTTAGCTTTATTTGTTTAAAACAAAGGAATGTTCAGATTATAACACAATGTTGACTGCTGTACCCCTTTTTTTGACATTTTTACCTATTGTGTCTGTTTGTTTTGTTCACGCATCGTTGTCAATATAATGGAATTTGATGCGACTGTCATACAAGTGAGAGGTTTAGCTAGCTATAAAACCAGGTTCAATCCACCATTTTCTACATAAGAAAATGCCTGTACCAAGTCAGGAATATGACAGTTGTTATCCATTCGTTTGATGTGTTTGAACTTTTGATTTTGCCATTTGATTGGGGACTTTCCTTTTTGAATTTTCCTCGGAGTTCAGTATTTTTGTGATTTTACTTTTTAGAAGTATAATATTTCAACCTTGAATAAAGCAACCACAGTTAAACCCATTCAAAAGAACAATTTCTCTAGGCTTTAACAAAACATAATATTGGTACTTTATGAACTTTGAACTTTCTATACATAATTTGCTTCTCTGAACCTTTTTGTGATAATTTTACTTGTTTTACTCTTCATAGACATGATATGAAGATAATTAATCTAGAGAACCAATGTAGATGCATAGGGGAGATTGGAATGAGTCGATTAATTAATATTTGAATTACTTTTCGAAGAGAAAATCATTGTCACAAATTATATAATTAAACAGTATTGAACACAAAACCAAGAATAACTAGATTTGCCATTACAAACAATAGCGGATGGCAACCTTCTCAAATTGACACTAAACTGCAGCCATTTGGAAAATTTTAAACAATCAATGCAAATGAATACATCACAACACAATTGTCTGTAATGTTCATGAAGTTTGAAGCCTTTTTCAATTTTTCACTTTTTTTCAGTTTCCATGGCAACGGCGGCCATTTTTGAATTCCAAGGTAAGGTCAAACGTCTCATATTTACTTGCCCGGAAACATGTATATTAAGTTTCATTAAGTTTGGACCATTTTGAAATTTTTTGATATTTTTGCTGTTTCCATGATTACGGTGTTCATTTCGAAAATCCCAACAACTACTGCAACGTTGACTTATGCCATGATATAAATTCTAATGAAGTTTCATTGTGTTTGATCTAATATTCTTTAAGAAAATGATGCATTACTGTTTTTTTTCAACAGAGTCAATGTTAATCTTTTCTCAGTTTCCATGGCAATGCTACTCATTTTTGGAATTTCTAAGTACTGTTGGTAACTCAAGACACCACAGAAAACATATTCATAAAGTTTCAGTACGTTTGGTTTAATAACAAAAGATTTAAAGTTTTGATTTTGTTTAACATTTTTGCCGTTTCCATGGTAACCGCGGCCATTTTGCACATTCCAAAGTCAGGTGCTTAATTTCACAAGGTGGTCATCATTATAGCATAGTTCCATCAACATTGGTCCATTCAATTCCGAGAACTAGCGTGGACAAAAAGTGTGGAAGAAGAATAAAAGTAAGGAAAAATAGAAACTTAGAAAAACAACTCCGTTGAAAGTGCCATACTGTCTATATATAACAATACATTAAGCAAGGTTCTAATGTTCCTTTTCGGTATATAGTTATTGTGACCGATATAAAATGCCTACACCTATAAAAACACACGATCCATAAACAATAATACAGAGTTTTGGGAGAATCAGATATAAGATTTAAAAAATTTACTTTATTAATCATGATAATCTTACCGGTTCATGACCACTTAAATGGTTTCAGGTTTTAATTGTAAAATGAAAGTCATCAGGAATTCTACATTAATTGTGTTACTTTCCAAAGAATTTATTTCTAAACGTATATTAAAAAATGCTCCTTTATAATTAACAAATTTAGACGAATCATATAAACAACGGCCATACAAGCTGGTGGTTAAGATAGCTATAACACCAAGTTTAATCCAACATTGTTTTTTTCGGAAAATGCCTGACCAAGTCAGGAAACTGAAAGTTGTTTTCGATTGGTTCAGTTGTTTCATAAAGTCTATCGTTTAATTTTGTCAGTTTTTACGGACTTCTCCGTTTTGAATTAACGTTGGAGTTCGTTATCTTTTAAAAAACTTTTTTTATCATTGTTTTCTTTTTTGTTGCTTAATATATAGTTGTTTTCTCAGAGCTACAACACTATCTAAGTTCTTAAGATTTACCTGATATTAACCGTAAGCTGATTATGACGTATAACCTTGGAAGTATTAAAAAATCATTTGATGTTATTTTTACCAAAACCACACAGTTGATGAACAACAAGAAAGAAAAAAAAAACACACCATTATCATGGCATTTCGTGTCGAGGGTTTTATTTATCGGTCACAAGATATATTCATTCCACCAGGAAAACAGACTGGTCGAATGAAAAAATATTATATTGTCAGGGCTGATTAATCTGCGACACTATATAACCATTTCAATTAAAACGTTTGACCTACGAAAGAAAATTTACCTGTTATGTAATCAAGTTGATCTTTTCACACATGTCATAAAGATATTGATTTGATATGAAATATTTATATGCAATTCAGTAAAAGGAGCGGTAGTACAGAATTTTAGTACACTTTAAACTCTTAGATGTTCAAGGCATATAAATATTGAAAATATGCCACACAGCTTTATGTTTTGACCTTTGAAAAAAATAGAATTGGATAAGAGCTTTCCATTATAGGATATTTTTTATTACTAAACTGTATAGTAAAAGTGGTACAGTTTTAGCCGTAAACGGAGTTGCTATTGCAAATCGCATTGTCTATATTTAGAAGTGCAACCTATATGAAAAATGAGAAGATGTAGAATTTCACAAAATCTGGTTTACCTTCAGAGATTTGAATAATATTAACTCAAATATAAAGTGTTACAAATACTTCATGGAGGGTGAGAAAATCTGGGCCTTAAATATGATGACTCAGCAAAAATTCACAGTTAACAGTATGTATACTTTGTCCTATAATGGTTTACTTTTACAAATTGTGACTTGGATGGAGAGTTGTCTCATTGTCACTCATACCACATCTTCTTATATCTATATAGTTTATCTAAAACCCTGTATACAAGGTTAATTCATAAAATATGCATATATGTAATTCAAATTGTTAAGATGTGCTTACATTTACTCTTCGCAGTCACTAAAACTCCTAGATCCTTGATGCACATTGTTGTTAAGGTATTATGTCCTGGCAAAACCCGTAAGTAAGCCATAACACCTGACTTTGCTTTCTAGCGACTGCGGCGTTAAAAAAATACAAGCTAGAGATACAAAAATACCTTTATAAAATTAACAATAGGTGTGTTGTTCTATTCTAAAAATATACTAAAATTTCCATATTCACAGAAAAGGCCGAATTATTTAGCAAATTTGAGGCCAGAGTGGCAAAACCAGAAAAAATCCCTAACCTCTGGGTCATAAAACAGATAATTTGACCTGTTAAGACTATGATTTAATAGTTATAACGGTCTTTTGTAAAGAAAATCATAACCTTGCTTTAAAGGTTTGCAAAAAACAGATTTGAGTACCTGTTTATTTACTTTTGACTTTAATTATTTATCCCTTGGTATTTTTTATTAACTGTGTATTTGCATTCAGGTGTCACAGGTCAAATTTATTCGTTCATTGTGTGTTAAAGTACGTTTTTTGATTGAGTTAAGCCTTCCAATTGATATTTTATAGTGTGTTTTTCTATGTTGTGATGTTATACTATTGTTTCAGAAAAGGGAGAAGGTTTGGTACCATTAAAACGTTTAATCCCGCTGCAAATGTTTGCACCTGTCCTAAGTCAGGAATCTGATTACAGTAGTTGTCGTCTGTTTATGTAGTTCATAGGTGTTTCTCGTTTCTCGTTTTTATATAGATTAGACCGTTGGTTTTTCCGTTTGAATGGTTTTACACTAGTAATTTTTTGAGGCACTTTATAGCTTGCTGTTCGGTGTGAGCCAAGGCTCCGTGTTGAAGGCCGTTTCTTGACCTATAATGGTTTACTTTTATAAATTGTAACTTGGATGGAGAGTTGTCTCATTGGCACTCATACCACATCTTCCTATATCTATATATAAAGCTTTTAATGAATTTATATATTAACTGGTAACTAAACACATACAACTTTTGCAAATATGGCTTTGTTTAATACACTTCTAGTTCACGTTTTAGCAAAAGTATGTTAGATATATGGTAAGGGTTGATAAAATTGTGACAAGATTTGTAAACGGACTATTTGAGGCAAAATTTGTGAACGTTTATAGACAAATTGGCATACAGTAAAATGTGAACTGGACACTGAGTCAGAATTGGATTCATTTTTTATATAAACTTGAATGTTGGAATAATTTAAGTTTACATTTATAGTATTCTGAAATGCTGGAAATTTGTTTTCATACAGGTTCTAGGCATTTCATGTCAGACACCATGCACATAGGATAAGCTGACAATAATTAAAGTCTTGTTTCAAATTCTTTAAAAATTGAAAAAGGATTGGGGTATTAAATGTACTGTAAAAAAAATGTTAGAGTACATTCACTGATTTCTTTTAGGCTATGATTCTGATAACTAAGTATTGTTGTGAGAAAAGGTGTTTTTCAAGATTTTTCTATTTGAATAAATGTTAGTATAGGTTGTATATAAAACAGCTGTTTCACAAACTATGTCTCTTTGGTGAAGATATTTAATATTAATAGATATTTTGTTTTGTTTACCGTCTGGTTTCGGTATATGATCTCTATGTTTCATCGCAGAACTCTTAGAAGTTCAAGTCATATAAATATTAAAAATATTCCACAAGGCACTTTGTTTTGAAAAAAATAGAAGTGCATATTAACTTTCCACACAAGGATATGATATTTTACAAAACTTCATAGTAAAAGTGGTACAGTTTTAGTCGTAAAAGGAGTTCCTATGGGAAATTGCACTGTCTATATTTACAGTAGTACAACCTATAGATATAACCGAAGGAATTTTCCTGATTTTGAAAAATACTCATCGGTCGGGTCCGTTTTTGGTAATGCGAACTAAACTTTTATCATATTCAAAACAATATATTTTTGATACACAGTCTAATGGTTCATAAAGATTTAGACTGTGTTAAGCAGTATTTGTAGACAAATGACACACTACTACTATTCTTTCAGTGTTCCCGAAATGATACCGTATATGTTTTCTCCTAGCACAGAATGCCTTGGTAAACGACGATTCGTCAATGACCTGTTTCGCGACCTAATGCATTTCAGATTTAAGTCAGGAACATAAGCAGTTATTACATGCTACTGCTATAACATATTTGAAAAAAACCACTTCTACACTTCTATTCTACCTTTGGCAACGTTGTGCCACTGAAGCTTACCTATAAATCTATTATAGACGTATAATCTATATATCTTATTTTAACATATGAGCTTCGTCGGATAGAAATAGACCTTTTGCAAGTGGACGTATACACAAACATGTAATGAAATGGAAAGTAAATGATAGGACCCATTGATAGCCTTGGGCTGTTTTCTGCTCTTTGGTCGAGTTTTTGTCTTTTTGACATTTCTGTTAATGATTTCTAATTGTCAAAAGGGCGACACAATGTATATATCGCACTATGGATTTATACAATAGGATACTTAAGTATCGCATTCAGCTACATTATTACAAAAAAAACTACTTAATTTTCATATAATAATTGTTGAACACTCACTGACAATACATTCTTCATTAAGAGGAGAATTAAAAGATTTCTGCATTAAGCATTTAACTTACATAAACTGCGCCATTCATGCAAATGATTGCTATAATTATTTCATATATCTTAAGGAAAACTTACGTATTATCTTTTAGTTATAGGAAATATCAATCTACTGTTGGCTTTTTCGTATCGTTATATTCAGTGCTATTCATTTCCTCAATAACGTAGTCTATTGGCTTATTGTTGACATGATTTAAC